TGTTATTCTAGCAAAGACTAGATTGTAACAGGTTGCCACTGCTGAACTTTAGCTGCTTACATCCATTAACAATGACAAAGAAAGAGCCCCCTGGTTCCCTTAATTTCCACTGACAAGCATAGCAAAATGCCGGAGTTCATTTCACTGTCGTATTTGCCCAGAAACAGTGATCTTCCTGCTGGGTAGGGAGACGTACATTTAGACTATAAAAGAGTTTGGGTGGCATCATTCTCCGAAATCATCCTGCCTTGAGATTCTTCCAGGCCAACATGCACACACACTCTGTCACAACATATTTCAAACAACTGTAGTTTGAGTAATGTGAGGTCAGCCATGTTTATGAAGACCTTGTCTACTTCAAAGAGCTACTAGAAAAGACTTAGAAAGTAAGCAAGCAGGAACTTATCCAAAGAGACTTGCTTTGCACATACCAAGGGGACAATCTCACCTGGCAACCTAGGGTTAAGTACTTTGCTCAAGGATTCAATGGCTCACTCACTCACTAATTTTTACCTACAATCTTTTGGCTCCCAATGAAGATTGTTAACCACTACACTACACTGCCATGATGACCCAAACAATTTTGTCAAACTTGTCAAATATGGGCTGGTCTTGATTGTAGGTTTCAATCTACAGCGCCCAGACCAGACTGTTAACAACTACACTGTACTATAACCACCATTTCACAACAGCTACAGACTACGCCCCATTCACAGGCCCCAGAAAGACAATTTTAGACCACTCATGAGACCCTCCTTACCTTAAACAGCGTCATAATGTTGGCAGACTTGATGGAGACACATCCACCGTCATCAAGGGCGTAGGTTTGCTTTTGACATTGGTGGGGACATAACAGCAGCCCGCACCCTTCTAGACCCAGCCCTGACTGTTATCCACTACACTACGCAACATCCATCATTGACAAGAACCAGAGCATGCACCCCACTCCCAATCCCAAGAAGGACAAGGTGAGCCTGCTTACCTTAAAAAGCCTCAAGATGTTGGCGACCATGATGGAGACAGAGCTGGCAGCTGCACCGATGACTCCAACGATTTTATCTGGCTTGGCAAATATGGGCTGGTCTCCGTTGGCACAGCGTACATCCGAACCGTCGCGCTCGATGAGAGCTTGTACAAAGGTAAGCGACTGCTCCAGGGCGTAGGTGTCCCGCGAGCAGGTGTCCAGGATACGGGCACCCAGTGTCACGTTAGGCAGCAGCTCTGGGTCTTTGTTGATGAGGTCGATGGCAAACAGCATTGCCTCCAGTCTGTGAATACCCTTCTCCTTCTTTAACTCCCCACAGGGAATGCCACGCTCACCCCGGGAGTGAACCGGAAACAGGCCACCGAGGATGATGTCGCCATCCAGACGGATAGAGTGGGCATACTCAATGGGTGGTGTCTCCACCCGCTGGAGGGAGACCGGTAACCAGTAGCAGAGGAAGAAGAGGAACTGGTATTGAGTCCGACTTAAGCGTACAAGATCCATATCCACAGGATCGTTGGGGACAATGTGAGGAAGTGTAGGTCCGAAAATTCCAGGTGGTGGAACTGAGTACTAATGGGGGAGCAGGTGGACGGGAATATCCATGCCCATTTCAAAGCTGAAGTCGTGCCTTCTGACCATTTAGAGTGTGGCCACAGGAATTTCTCATGGGGCAAAAGCGTCTAGCGTACATGTCGTGTGACTGATAACAGGTGATATAAGGAGATGCAAAAACATCAGACAAGAAATAAACAAGTGCCTTTCCAAATCGAGCTCCAAAACTCTCACATCTTCAGAAGCATCTAAAGAAAAGAAAACATTGTATGAGTGGCTACACAAAGAGAAAATCAAACATGAATCAGACACAATATATGCAAGCAACAAAGCAAACTCATCAAACACACGGGCATCTTGACAGGGAGGAAAACATCACAGTCATTTGGAGCTCAGTGTGGTCTTTCGTTTCTGCCTCACTGAAGAAAAAAAAATCAAGACCGTCTTCTCTCACATTTGCATAGACAACCAAAGACATTTCGCAGTGAGAGGAAATGTGTCTATTTGCGAACAATGGAGCTGTCGGGTTGATTTTTACAGTTCAGCCTTGTGGAATGGAGTGGGACAGAGGGTAATCAAGGAGAGTTATGGCAGATTGATCTTCACAACAGTTTTTTGTCAGGATGCACAGATATAGAAATTTGGGCCAATGCAGATGGACAGTAATTATTTTAATGTTAGTGTTTACTGATATTATTATTATTTCATTTTAAAGCATTTGAAATTAACTTTATGGTTTTCAAATTAACATGTTATGTCTCTGAAGAAGTATATAGCCTCCTCTTGATATAGATTTGGCACTCGGTCTTTCCCTGTGGGTTATCCTACATCAGTCCACGTTTCTTTCTTTTTAGCCAAACCCTAAGCTCCAAAATGAAGGCTGCTAATTTACACTGTTGTTGGCACACATCAAACACCTGAAACATTTCAGAGAGTCGAGACAGAGAGAACCTCTCGTGAAACACCTCCACATCCCCACTCTCGACTGGAGAGCCATCGCTAGATTACGCGCAACGAGCGCAGTTACGCACAACCTTGCGCTTCCGAGAGACACATGCTGCGCAATCTGCCGCCTCCGTGCGCCAAGAGCATCACTCTACAACGTAAAGGAAGTCCATTGCACACTTCCGAGTGTGATTCAGCTCCCCTGGTGAGCCACAAATGCCACTGAAATTCCCACACTAACCCAGACACTATAAATCACGCAGGAACGATCCCATCATCCCTGGATCTTACTGTTAACTGTATGTTACCTTACAAACAACATTTCACACTCTATACAGTTCTGTTTTAGTTTTTTCTAGAACAAAGTTTCTCTTCTATTCTAACGGCTCGGTTCTGTTGTAATGATTCTGTATTGCTTTACTCTATTCTAAATGACTCTGTTCTGTTCTAATGATGCTTTTCTGTTCTGTTCTATTCTATACGGCTCTATTCTAATGACTATTCCTTTTTTCTACTCCATACATCTTCGGGGAAGACTGATTGGTTTCTCGAGTGCAGAGACTGCCTGTTTAAATCGAAATGTATTTGCATATATGATAGTAGTTGTGCATATGCATAATTGGATTTGTTTCAGCCTAATATTCTACTCGTTTGCACAAATTAATCTCTATATGAGAGTTCGGGTATTCCCTCTCTTCTGTCGTTATATCAGAGACAGATGGAGTTATTACCCTGGCAGAGGCAGCGTGTCCCATTTCTCTTTTTAATTTACACGAATCAGTATGTGTCAAGCAGAACCATCTTCTACTGGAGATCCCATTATATTTCCCCCAGGAGAACCTGTCTCATAGGAATCCAGAGCTCTTTCTCTCTCATACAACTGTAGTTGGGGGGGGGGAAAACAAAAACAACAAGCGTATGCTTCTCCAAAAACATACAGTCGCGTGCAATTTGGAGTTTATAGTATGCAACTCATGAGAAAGACATGAGACGTTTCACAAAAATTCACAGCCTACACATTAAGCACGCACATTTCTGATTGATAATTCTGAATTTATAAGAGAAATAAACTACAAACCCAATAGTCCATGTGTATGAATCAGCATGCATGCGTGTGCATTTGCGCACATTCCTTTGATGCCATGCAATGCAATGATTCACATGCTGTCTAATCAACACAGCCTCTGCATTCTCGTTCAATTCTTTATATACATCAGGAACGCGCAACAAATGTCTCAATGTCTTAAAAGTGCTTTTAAGTGACTTGCCATCATATAAAACACAAACTAGCTCTACAGAAACAACTGTAACATTCGTTTAGGTTTCACAACAAAACAATTATCTTTTAGATCACTGATACTTTTCGTACTCAAAAGATATTCATGAGCAGCATTTCAAACCGTATTTTCATTGATAGTGTAATACTTGCAGCATAAGAGTACAATTTAAAGCATACTAGCATGGAAGTGCAGTAGATGTGAGATCTTACCTTCTTTCTGCTCTCAGATGCTGGTTTGTGGTGCTGAAATGAACAGCGCATCCCCAAAATCCTCCCTGTGAATGTGGTTGTTCTCTCACTCACACACACTCTCTCTCCCCCTCTATCTCTCTCTCTTCCGTGCATCACATGCAATCTTAAATGAAACATGCTCGCATTTCAGAAGGAACATTCTCAGGAACGTTCAGGATTGATTAAGGGAACACCCCCCTCTTGTGCACAAAAATAGATGCAGACGTGCAGGAATAAGGGAGAGCGTAAACGCAGGAATGTGAAGATTCTAATATTATTTTGGATTGTGCATTAAAATAAATAGACCGTCTACATCTAGAAACTGCATTAGCACTTATTAACACTTCGGTTTTGAAAGCTAATCGAGTCAAATATTACCGAATTGTGATATCTTTTATTTTTTGGATGTACACTAAATTATCCTAAACCTCAACGGACAAAATCCAGTTCAATGTATTAATTCAACGAGTCTGAATGCAAACAATTACTAATAGTTCCTAACACTTTTCAGCGCGTAATGGCAAATACTATTTATTCAGTCATTATTTTAGCTATTTTGGATCCACCATCTGCTACTAACCAAAGTCACATCTGAATAAATTGAACTTGTAATTCCAAATGGTAAAACAGATTTTGGGGAATGTCAGATTTGGCTGCAATACACTTCGACAGCTAGTTTATAAATAGTGCACTGTTGCCCTCTAGTGATACAAAAATACATTTGATTAATTATGACCAAATAAACACCAAATTATGAAACGGGTTACCAACCTACTCAGCAAAATCCAAATTCATCAAATTCATCTTTAGCCTTTCTATAAATCTAATCAATAATACATTTAAAGTGCCATTTTATATATAGAATCAGAATAATTTGATGTATAAAACTGTATTTTCATTAAAAAGAAAAACTCACAAACCTCAAGTTCCATCACAATCTCCTGGCTTGGAAATCCTATTATATGATAACATAAGATTATTAAAAAAAAAAAAACAATGCACATAATCATTTCCTCTGTTTATTGTTGGTAAATACATTCATTTTAACAATGAGAAATACAATTTCCTACCAACTTTTATCCGTCAAGCCTCCAGAAGGCTAAAAAAATAAACTTGGATCTATAGATTTGCACAATGAATCCTTGTTAAGACCTGTTAACCTTTCTGTAAAATGTTAATAGACAAACGAGGAGTGAAAAATAACGTAAGAATCATCTAAAACTGATAGGAGACGAATTAATCAAAGAACTGCAGCGGAAAGGCAACTAAAAAGATCTCATAGAAAGTGTTTAACATTTACCTGCAGTTCATACAAGGACAACTGGTTGTCTTCCCCAGAGCATGTGCTACATAAAAGAGCCTGTTCCCTTAATATAACTGAAGTAGAATCTGAGTTCATGACGTTCCAGTGGTCTTCGGTGTCCACCGTTTTCTCAGTAAAAGAAAAGAAAGACATCCAGATCTTACCCCATACGACTGCACTGAATACCAATGAGCCTGATGGGTGTCAATAGCCGACGTTCAGCTGCCGTCTGCAGGAGTTCAATGCCCTCTCACTGAGAGCATGTGTGCCTTGAAGCTCCACCTGAGGCTAAACCCACTACAACGGCATCCTGGAACAATCGTCTACGTGGTTTTGGATGGAAATGGCAGTGGGGGAATGGAAAGCATATATATTTCCTCTTATATCTGAGAGTAATCAGAACCCCTCATAAATGGTTAATAGAGCACCACTGAAAATACTGTACCGTTACATTGACATACATTCTGCAGTATGTGTGTTTGGGACGATGGAACGCATTTCTGAGGGTTTCTTATACCCTACTTATGGTTTAAAGTCCTTTTTGTAGTATAGCACAGTTTCTTTTACTTTGTTAACGGTTCAGATTTTCTTTGTCACTCTCACTGTCCAGTATGTCTTTCCACAGTCGCTGCAAGTCCAGTTTGCTGTCAGTAGATATCTAACAGAGACAGGAAGAGTTAGAAAGAGACACAAAATGGTATCATAATATTATCAAGGATTTGTAGACAGTTATCATGATGTCTCAGACGTGTACCATGGTAATACCATATTATGTACCATATACCATGATATTCTTTAAAGTGTCTTGGAGTACCTTGTGAGTTCATGGTCAGTTAAATGGATTTTAACAGTTCACAATATATATAGCAGACATTTTATAGTAGAGATGCACCATTACTATAATTCTGGCTGATACCAGTAAGCTGATAATTACTTTAATGTTATACCAAGAAATAGCTGATATGCTAAATACTTAATATTATAGACACTAAACATTCTATACTATTTTGTCTGAATAATAATAATAATAAAAAAACAACATTAAAAAGTAAAATTAAACATTTTAAATTCCACAAGTGAAATTAGGTACCACAACATTATAATGTACGGAATTAAAAACCGATATTCATTTTGAGATTTGCTAAAGATTATATTTAAGAGTGTTGTTAAATTATTTATAAATATTTCCTTTCCACTTACCTCACTGTAATTTAATCTAAATGTAAAAATGCAAAATAAAAAAATATATATAATTAAAAAATAATATCGGTCAATAACCGATTTGGTACCGATATATCATGCATCTCTACGATAAGGTACAAATGGCTTTGAGAAGCTGAACGGTTTTCAGGCACAATACACACAGACTCCAGTTATCACTTAAGTAACTCACTGCCACACGGGCGGTAATCCAGCCTTCATGTGTTTTCATGTTATACTGTATGTAACTTACTGCAACCCAGAGACAAACACAAGGACTAAGACCCAGAGGAACAAGAGAAAGGCTAACTGTCAGAGTGACATATAGACTTCTACCACAGGGAGAAAATGGGGCATTAATGGGGAAAAAAATCAAGTCAAAAAATGGACATGGATACCAAAGGCAACTCCGTCACCCTTATTTGAAGATCAGAGAGCTTTTCTTGTCTCTCTGGTCCTGTGACAGAGCGGCATGATTAATACGGCCCGGCTGAGTCGAACGCTGTTTCCAAGGACACGGGTGAGTTATCTTAATTGCTTCTTAAAGAAGCCCCCCTCACCGCTCAACTGGCACCCCAAGGGCTCTTTAAACCTTGAGGTGAGACCGGGGCGGCCTAATTTCCGGGGCCTTGCTGTGGCATCCATGCTTCATTCTTCCGTGCAGGAAGTCCACCCTGGGATTTCTCTCATTCATTAACAGCAAGGCTGTGGTAGCAATCCGCCAGCCAAAGCACAATTCCTTTCTCCCGCTACAACACACCATCTGCTGTACCATCGAAGTTCAGAGAACAGGAAACAGCTGCACACAACCTACTGACAGCCTTTTAAGGCACCATAAGCTCACTCCCAATTAAGCATCAAGATTGAGACTAAAAAGATAGGTAGCATAACACTGCTGACTAGATGTTTTGGCCAAATTCAAAACCAGAACTGCATGTATCTTGCAGAATGCATTGCGATGAGCTAAGTGAAAAGTGAACATAAGTTGGTGAAAAATGCAGGAGAAATGTCAACAATAAATACTAGTATTTCATTCAATACATTAAAGTATTGTGAATAATACTTTGTGTATGCTATGTATAGCTCCAAATTGTAGTTTTTAGCTTAGCAACTTGCTAAAGTCCAACTCTACTGGAAACAGTATTGAGTATTAGTTACTCCCCAAAAGTATGTTCTAATAACGTTTTGCTATTGTTCTGATTAAGTTATAAAAAAAAACGTTCTCTGAATGTTCAAAATGTCGTTTTTTTTTTTTTTAAGTTTTATAGACAATTTTTCTTGGTTATGGAAATGTTAAAGTCCGCATGAAATCAAAATTGACTTTATTTACTTTACTAATGCACATTGCTAGTCTTGATGTGAACAATTCATCCGTGCAAGTTAATCCGCTGAGAAAAATTGTTTATCTTGGTAATCTTTAATCAAAATCGGAACATTTACTTCCACTCTGGAATGGCATTCCTTCTGTGATTACGTCAGTTTGACGGCTTGGGCAGAATATCCTTAAACACACCCCTCCAACCGTTAGTTTGCTATGAGTGAGAGACAGAGAGGAGGAGCGCAAAAATAAAACCATGCCCTCTATTCAATATTCCGTTTCAGCTGGAAATACGTCACTACACTGAAATAAAGTCGGCAGCAACTTCCGGTTCACGCACTTTAAGGTAACATTGCACTTTATCATTTTGCAAACATGGGAATGTTAGTTTTGAATGTTCTCTGAACATTCTGAAACAAGAAATAGCCTAATATTTAAATAAAACGTCAGATGAACATCCAACTAAAACATTTCAGGAAGAATCATTCCATGGATTATGTATAAATAATGTTTTTGTGCTAACGTTTTGAGATCATTAATGAAAACTTTGAACAACTCTTCCATTAACATTACTGCAAGAAGATTTTTTTCATTCCTTGGGGAGAACCTTGCCAGAAAGTTCTAAGAATGTTCCGTTAGCTGGATCCCTCTGTAGAGCATTCCACATCAGTTACTTACAAGTTTTCGTTTCGATTATTATTGTGCCCTAGTAGGTGGCTACCTCATAGGAAGTAAACAGCAAGGCAGCTCACAAGGGTTTGAAGCAGAGCTTGTGTAGTGTATTGATTCAGATGCACTCACCAAAGCATGACCTTGGATCTTGTTCTGATACATGTGCTCCTGGTTGCGGATTTCAAGTGGCTTCTCTTGTGCAACCCTAGGTATCTTGTCTTTTTAAAGCTCTGGCCACAGACGTTGCACATGTGCAGAGATTTCTTGGTAGCACTTCCTTTTGAGTTACTAGGCTTCAATTTTTTGTTATGGGTCACCTCGTCGTGGCGCTTCTTACTGCCGGTCGTCAAGGTCTTTTTTCCCATTATGCCAGGAGCTTTTGGAGGCAAGTTCCTGCGTGTCAGATATGGTGACATGTGCTTGTGGTGGACTTTCACTTCTTCTTGTTGACTTTGAACTTTCACCTCTTCTTTGCTCAACACGACCTCCGCTGGCTTCTTGACAGCGTAGCTCTCCAGCGACTGGGAGATCCTGCTCAGGTAGGAGGACTTCTTCTTGTGGAACTCTGAGAGATGGCGCAGCACGTCCCTCTTGCGGCGCGTCTTGTAACGGCAAAGCGGGCAGCAGTAAAACTTGACAAAGAAGTCCGTGCCATTATCAGTGTGCAGCTCAATGTGTTTCTCCAGGTTCTGCACGGAGCTGAAGGTCCGCCTGCAGAGCTTGCAGAAGCGTGCCTTAAAGTCAAAACCTACGGAGAAGTGAGCCTTGGATGGGACTTTGTCCTCCTTGGGACTTTTCTGGCTCTGGGAGTCAGAGGAAGAGCTCGGACTAGTGTTGGGATTGTCTGGAACTTTACCATTGGGCATTTTCTTGGAGCTGCATGTGGAATCACTGGAGTTGGTTGTGGAACCAGAAGATACAATCTTGTGAACAGTCCGTAGGTGCCTCCTAAGGTGACCTCGAACCCTGTATGTCCTGTTGCAGAGAAGGCATTTGCAGGAGGCCAGGTCTTTGTCACCTGCTTCTTCTGTTGGCTCCTCAGGTTCTTCACTATGCTGATGCCCCTTGTTTTCTTCCGCATCTTCCTCTCCCTTGTCCATGTTCTCTCTCTCATCTTCCTCATCAATGCTATTGTTATCCTCTTCTTCCAACCGGACCTCCTCCATGTACGGTTCCTGGCTGTTGGAGTGGTAGTGTGTCCAGCTGTCTGTGGCCATGTGGTTGGAGCGTCGAGATGAAGGTGGCAGGTCGTCTTCTTTGGACAGGTACTGGTACACAGCATTGTGGTTGCCAGCAATGGGCTCCAGTTTCAGTACATATTCCTCTTTATCACAGCAGGGATAGATAGCTTCGAGAAGTTCTTTTATGCTCTTCTTGTTAACTCCAGATGGGTCTGGAACCAGAAGTAGACCTTAGTTAAAGTTTCTATTTTATAGAAAAATTGCATTTCCTTTTTTGATTTTATTTTTTGTTTTTTTGATTTTGAAGTGTACCATATCCACCCAGACCATTTGATGAAACAATGGGTCATTGATAAATCAGTTATGACTGATTAATGGCAGTGAGAAATATGTTAGCATGCATAGATTAACCAATCAAACTTACATATAGAAGAAGTCTTAAAGGTACAGTAGCTTAAACACTATCGGTTTATTAAAGAAACCTTAACTATCAATATAAAGTTGAGTTCCGTGGAAAATAATGCCAAATAAATTGCAAGCTGTGAGAGTTAAGCTGGCTTTAAAGGCTTTTCCTAAATCCCCAAATCAGTTTAGGTGGTGAAAATAAATAAAACAGGCAGAACAGCAGTCACCAATCATCAATTACGCTTTATTGCCATATGTCAATGAAAAATACTCAGGGTAAACTCAACACTGGTCTTTTAGGAGAGAATGAAAAGTAGAAATGCAGTGCTATACTAACCATCAGGTTCAGGCATTCGAGTGAAACAATACATTTCCTTGTGTTTGATCAGATTGGGAAGGCCACGGAAGAGACTGCGGCAGAGTTTACATTCAAAGATTGTGTCCACCTCTTTGAGGAGAATGTGTTTCAGCTGTGTAGTACCTGCAAATAAGCGCAAGAGGGCAGTGATAGGACTCGTTGAGTTTCTGTGTTGGCTCAGACAATGCTTGTGACATCGGGGCTGAAATTCTCCACATAGTTTACATTTCATTCTAACTGTTCGGTCAACTATGATCATAAAGAGAGGAAACAGAGGATAGGTAGCACATTGTGAACAGACACAGCACCTGTGTGGAAACATTCAATGATCTGCTGGATGCCAGATTTGGAGGTGAGCAGCGGTGTTTGTAGCAGAGGAGGATCTCCAGGTTCTGTGGAATAGACTGCAACAGACAAACAGTGTATTCTTACAATATATCAATGAATTATTTACAATATGCATACTACACTTTGAAATGTTCCGAACAGTTTTAAACCAATAGATTTGTTGCTGTAAATACAGCAAAGGCATAAAGCATCATTCTAAACTCCAGTATATTCACACCTGAGAAAAATGGCTCATTTCTAAAGGCTCATACTGAAGGTTTTTCCTTTGCATCACAGAAAACTCATCCAATTAATCATGTACCTCAGTTATAATGCTGCTTATCTCTCTTATTAACACTTATGACAGTCCGTCAGGGTGAATCTCTTTGAATAATCCTCTCCAGACAAACTCATTACACAGAAATGATGATCTGAAGTCTGGTCTGCTGTGCTCATGCCAGTATGTTTTGGATGGCAGAACTCGCCATCCATTCAGAGGTTCAGCTTGTGCTTTCTAAATGAGACTTTATTAAAGTTTGCATTATTGATGGCCGCTGCCTGCGACTGTCTAGATGAGTATTTACGAAAACGTCTGGCTCTGAAACAAAAGCTTTGATTTAATACACATCTCCATTTTTCCACTGGATAAATGGGATAATATCTCTTCTGTTCGGGTTACGTATGCCAATATTTCAAGGTGGTGATTAATGAAGCTCTAGTTTGTGGAGACTATTACAGAAAGGACTTTTATTAGTGGAGTTTGCAGTAGCAAATATCACTAGTATTATTATTGCTCATACTTAAGGTTATGGATCTGAACAAACACTATAGGCGAGGAGTTTGACCAAGCAAAACCACTTATATTTCCTTCAAAATCTAGAAATATTACATATCCGATTATCTAAAACGACTCTAAAAGAGCATTTTCCATCACCAGAGCTACATGGGAACAGATCCGCAGTGGGAGACAATAACTCTTCACTACGTGAGGAGGTGAAAAATCAATCGTGTGTGAAGATACGGGGCATGTACACAGCTGTGGATAAAGTGCCCAAATCAGTCGGAGATCGATGATGGGGATTTTGGTGAATTTATGGCCGGACCAGCCCAGAGCCCAGTGGTGTGTTTACAGCGGTCCTCAGAGACTCGACTTATATTTGAGGTGTTTTATGACTGTATGAGGGAATTTCCTAGAGGAACGGCCTGAAATTTGCCAATGTCAGGACGGCTAGGTGAGGAGATGGCAGTCAACACACACCTACACACACTCAGAATCAATCTAGGGCTCTGCTGTTGAACACTGCTGACTGATGTTTGCATTATAAAGGGTTGGTGTGATGGTCTATTCGTCTGTTCACAAGAGTCAAGTGTCAGATGAGAGATTTTTTTTTGGTAAATAAATCTTGATTTATTCACTAGTTGGCAGATAGTAGTACATGAATGCGTTAAAAAATATTAATTTTTTTTGGCAATTTCATGGCAAATTTATCAGAAATAAAATATATATAAGAGTTGATAAACTTTACCTTGGCAACTAATTAAAATAAAAATGCTTTTAAGTACTAAAATTACTAAAACCAAAACTGGAATAAAAATAAATTAAAGCTATATAGAAATATGACAAAACTAATAAAAATGATAAAGGCATATAAGAAAAACTACCAAAACTTAAATTAAAATGAAAACTGAAAATATAAAAATAAAAGCTAATATGACTAAAAACTAAGCTAAAATTAAAATGAGAACTAAAAAAATTCAGAATTCAGAATATGAAAAAAATGTTAAGTCTAATAAAAAGACAAAAGCACATACATTAATAAAACTGAAATGAAAAATTAAACTATAAAACCAAAGTTAATTCAAAATATTAAAAAAAAAAATGACTGAAACTTAAACTAAAATTAAAATGAAAACTGAAAATATAAAAGCCAATTCAAAAAAATAAAAACAACTAATAAAAATGACAAAAGCACAAATTACTAAAACTAAAATGCAAACTGAAATAAAAACAACAGATAATAAGAACGAAGATGACAAAAGCACATAAAAATTACTCAAAAATGTAATAAAATGTCTACAAAATATGCAAATATAAGAATAAAAGCTTAAATAAAAAATATTAATAAAGGCTATAATAGTATATAAATAATACTAAAATAACACTGCTGAGATCACCAAACTGGAAATATGAAAGGAAAAATACACAAATGGGATAGGGAAAAAGGGAAAAACAAGTTTATTTTTCTTTGTTATAATATAGAATAGGTTTATTCATATTTTTTTTGTATGCTCAAAATTAATGTTGAAATTGAAAGGAATGCACTCTCTTCAAAGCATATAAGAGAGTTTAATTCATTTCTATCATTAGTAAAAACAAAGCATGAAAAAGTAACGTGAACAGGAAGTAAAACTGCTACATGCCATCACTTTCACACAAACCTCAAGCCCCTCCCCTGAACCCACCCCTCATCACAGGGGGCGTGGCCTCTTGATCTTCCAGTATAATGTGGCAAAACATTATACTGGGAGGTCAAGAGGCCACGCCCCCTGTGATGAGCAGCTCAATCAATGCTTCAGTCACCATCCCCACACAAACACTTTGATTTCTTCACACAGCCCAGTTCAGCATCATACTACAATTATAAACATCATAGAAATCTTTATAAACACAAATTTATAAGGAGTAGGGCTGTAAAAAAATAAATCGAATTTCAAATATTCGTCGAATTTAAAATAAAAATCCACATTCGAATGCAAAATCGTTGCATTCGAATTTTAGGTGTGCGTTAAGGAGGCAGCCTTATCAGTGGCGCACGAGATGCGATGACGATGTAAGTGTTAATGTTTTTGTTAGCCTATCCAGTTGAAGCCACTCAAAAGAGCTGCATGTTTAGAAAGCCATGTAAAATTAATGAAAAAAACATATCTTGAGACTTTATGGTGGGGTTTTTTCCCCATCCCACTGCAAAAGCTTTTCGTAACCTTAACTGAAATTATGCATTTTAAATTCGAATATAATTCGAATTTTGATAATATTTAACTACAAAATTCGAATTTAGTTTTTCAGCCATTTTGACAGTCCTTAATAAGGAGCTGATCACTACTTGATAAAAAAGCCTGAAGTGTGAGTTACCAATTCACGCTAGTTTACGTATGTGTGTACATTTATTTAAGGCTGAGGGGGAGGGCCGTGACCTCTCCCTACAAAATTCGAATTTAGTTTTTCAGCCATTTTGACAGTCCTTAATAAGGAGCTGATCACTACTTGATAAAAAGCCTGAAGTGTGAGTTACCAATTCACGCTAGTTTACGTATGTGTGTACATTTATTTAAGGCTGAGGGGGAGGGCCGTGACCTCTCCTCTGTAAGGGTCACAGACTCTAGTGACCCCTACTGAGTGAGGGAGAATAGCAGGCCATGGAGGAATTTGCTGTAATCCTCTAATAGGGAAGGATCAGAGCCGATGGGCTGCTTTTAAAATGCATTTACTCTTCTTCGGATTATGTCCATTCATATGAACCGGTCAGAATGGATCCCATTGGTCAAGATGCGTGTCATTGACTTCATTTACATGTAGTATTCATTTAAGATTCAATAAACAGGAAAAAAAAGCAGAAGATTACCTAGCGTCTTGCTCGCATGGTCAGGCCCGGGCACAACGGCCTCACCTGTGAGTTCATCTGTCTGACAAGACTTCTCATTGGCTGGGGTTTCCTCCATCTTTAAAACACTTCAAATGTATCCCTGTGGAGATAGAGAGAACAGTAGAGCAATAAACAGTGACGCCAAACCCGAAACGTTACTGCAGAGAGCTTTTACAGCATGATATATAATCAAAAACCTTTAAATGTAGCTTATTTTTATGTCACTACAATTTACGGTAGCAATCAAAATAGAGTAAATCATCTTTTGAAAGTAATTTGACACTTCAAATAAAGATTTATCGATTACGTTGTACACCAGTAGGTGGCGAAAAGGGGCTGTTAAAAATTTATTTGTGACCCTGGACCACAAAACCAGTCATAAGGGTCAATTTTTTGAAATTGATATTTATACAAAGCTGAATAAATAAGCTTTCCATTGATGTATGGTTTGTTAGGACAGGACAATATTTGGCCGAGATACAACTATTTGAAAATCTGGAATCTGAGGGTGCAAAAAAAAAATCAAAATATTGAGAAAATCGCCTTTAAAGTTGTCCAAATGAAGTTCTTAGCAATGCATATTAATAACCAAAATTTAAGTTTTGATATATTTGCAGTAGGAAATTTACAAAATATCTTTATGGAACATGATCTTTACTTAATGTTCTAATGATTTTTGGCATAAAAGAAAAATCAATAATTTTGACCCATACAATGTATTTTTGGCTATTGCTACAAATATACCCCAGCGACTTAAGACTGGTTTTGTGGTCCAGGGTCACATTTGTCTTTGAATCATTCATTCAAGAGATTCATTCAAAAACACTGATTCATCAAGTAATGAAACAAGTAAATCTTAAGTGAGTCATTGAATCATTCATTCCAAATTACATGTGATTTTGTTTAGTTGTCTAATGCTTTTTTTTCTTCAGAATCGTGAGAGAACCACAACCTCCATTTAAAAAAAAGAAAAGGTCTCAATTTATCCAGAATCGTGCAACTCTATTTTGCACACAAACAGCTCTTAAAGGGGTCATATGATGCTTTTTTATAGATCATTATTTTGTGTATTTGGTGTAACAGAATATGTTGACATGCTTTAATGTTCAAAAAACATTATTTTTCAAATACTGTACATTATTGTAGGTCCTCTATGCCCCGCCTCTCTCAAACGCTTCGTTTTCTACAAAGTCCCTCCTTCAGACAAGTGCAGTCTGCTCTGTGGCAGAGTCTTAACTTTGATAAAGAATATCTCTTTGGTTTTGAGACTTTAGTCTTTGCAACTTCAGGGATCTTATCTATGCACAATCAGCTTGTAACACTCCAAAGAGAAAGGAAAACTTGAAATCGCATCATATGACCCCTTTAATCGAGTCCAGTTTTTATGTAGCCTGCTGATTTTTGTTCATGATATTCAGCTGCAACTAAATGTTTTGCAAAAAGAGACAGAATAAATATGTTTGATATCCAGATGTTTGACTTAATGACTACATAATGACTTCACCCTAGGCTGTAAAATTGTGTATTGTGCATTTTTCAGCAAAACGTTTGTCTTTCTGTGGCTCTAATAAAGTCTGTATGCTTCAGAGCTATAATATAAATCGTGCTTTCTCTTTCCGTTTGCCCTGTTTTTTTTTAAACACCAAATTTCAAACTCATCTATGCTGCTTTTTGATCATTCTTGAAGTAAACTAAACCTAGACGTGAAGCGGCGCTGCGCTTCTACCTGGTGTGCGACTAACATATTTTGTTATTTTGATTAGATAATCGAGTGTAATAAAATAGAAGCAGTTATATTGTTAGGGTATACATACAATATCCATATGTTTTCCTAAAATTTTTTTACAAAAAAAAAAAAAAAAGTTACTTTTATAACATCAAAAATCATTGGTCCTTGCAACTGCACCTTAAATTTTATTTATTTACTTTCCTTTAATGTTTTTGAATTAGATGCTAATCTAACACTTGCTGTTAGTTTTCTTTTCTAATTTATTTCTTATTTCTAGTGTATTTTTAACCTATTATGATATGTAAGTGTTTTGTTTATTTTAAAAAATTGTTTTGTTATAAAAACTCTACTTTGTCAATAAAATTAGTTAAAAAATGCATTGGCAGCTAGCTTATCAAGTCCAACTTGATAGCTTCACAAAGTTCAAGCATACTTAAATATTATGACATTTTAATATAATATAATAAAGTGAGTCTCATGATTATGACATCACACAAAGCACATTATGAGTCACTTTACATCTGAATATTTACTAACTTGTAATCACATAATGTCCAAAATCTCCTGAAAACTTACATACTGTCAGTCCCAAAACTCATGAGTGTAAAATACTAAAAAGTTGTTCTTCATTACTATACTTATAAGTATGATTTTGAAGGATATGTACAGTGTAGTCTTAGATTTAAATGACAATACTTGAGGACACCTTGCTGAAGATCTTAAGTGTGAACACAGCTGACAATCAGTCTATAAACAACTGTATTCAAATGTCAAACACCAATAAAATCAGCTGCTGGTGGGTTTAATGCTGTTTTCATTTACCATTTGGCATCTGGTTTGTCCCAGAACTCCACATAGTGAGGACACTGAGAAACTGAGACTAAACAAGTTGATTTACAAAGCATTAAACTCACTTCTAAAACAACTTATTTCATGTGGAAACTTTTTATTACTCCCACTCAAGTATGTTTGTGCTCGATACTCCGGCCTTTGATTGAGTAAAATGTTGTCACAGTATGCAAACTTTCACTTGAGCCTTATTTTTCAGTATTTTTACACCTCATCCACAAATGCATTGAAACTACCAAAGTTCACGCGAAAGAACTAGACAAGGAAGAAGCACTTACAATGCGTTTTAAAACCACGAAGGGCGATGACGCATACGAGAAAGGATAAAAGACGTCGTCAAACACGCAAAATAAACTTTACAATCCATCGACACCCAAACGAGCAGAACCGAACCTGCGTGAGTTACGAACCGTTGCGCTTTGCTCGTCGTTGCGCGCAGCGCCGGAGAGCCTTGCGCCATTGCGCGCGCTCTCCTGCCTCACAAATGATGAAAATGACCACAAAACACAGCTAATGTTGTTAACAGCAGGCATCCGCATCTAATAATCCATCTAAAGGCCTTCTAATGATGTGCGGAATCGAAACCGAGCCGTCTCTTCACCATCCACAGACTGAACAACAAAACCATGACGCCATTTTCTGCAAAAACAACCGCGTTCGGGGAGGAAACGCGACGCTTTTACGCGTTCAAAACGCTTCGCCAAAGGTTGCGAGTCTAAAATGAAGCTTCTGGTCGTTCTTACCGAAATAATCCGCGGATTCCCGGAAGATACCTCGACTTTGACTCTATGAGCTCTTGGATGGTGTGTGACGCCTCCGCGCGCATGAATGTGACTCTCCACCACACGCACGTGCCCTACTGAGCAAACACTGGAGATCTGTCAGGGTGCCGTGACCTAGTGCCGAGATCCGGGCCGGTCTGAGAGCTTAGGTGTTCGAATCGCGTAACTATCGCCAATAAAGACATTTAAACTTAAGTGGATCCAGGGGACTAATGCATTTACAGTAAATAGCTTTGACTCTCATGCAAATGCCAATGCAAATAAATTTACTTAAAATGTACGTTTCTAAAAAAAAACGACATTTTTGAAAGTAGTTAATTTTTTATGCACGCGCATAAACTCTTTAGGTGGTCATTCTAATAAACTCAAAAAGGTAGTTTTATACTTAAACAAGCTTGTTCACTCTATACCTTTTTTTTAAATTACATTTTTATCACATTTATTTTTTATGATTACAATAGTCCATTAAAATACATGTTAAAGTTAATAAAATATAAAGTTAATTAAAATACATACTACACTGTTTATGTCTGTAAATACATTTACATTTTTATGATCTTCTGAAATGCATTTCTTCCATGAATATGTATATAAATTATTTCAAAGACTTTTATGACGTCTATTAATTACATAGTATCGATATAATAACAATATATTAATAACTACTATATAATTAATATTACAATAAATCACTATCACGCAAATGTCAAAGCAAATAAATGTACTTAAAATTGTTTATAATAGTTGATTAAAATACGTTTTAAATGTGAATACATTTACATTTATAAGATTTTCCTGAAATGCATATCTTCCATAAATTTGTATAAATTATTTCAGTAAGATTATATGACTGCTATAACATTTTAGCTAAGCTAATTAATTACATACTGTACTATCGATATTTATAATATTAATACTAGGATGTTTTTTTATGAAGCTTCTCACAGATAAAATAGATAGCAATGACCAATATTTAGATGTACGATTATATGACTGCTATAACATTTTAGCTAAGCTAATTAATTACATACTGTACTATCGATATTTATATTAATACTAGGATGTTTTTTTATGAAGCTTCTCACAGATAAAATAGATAGCAATGACCAATATTTAGATGTACATTAATCGGATCCGAGATCGTAGATTAATATAATGTAAAAATATGAAATCATTAAGCTAAGTGAACTTTTCCTGACCTGACCTCAGGTGCCGGGTAGTTGCGTTGCTAGGATACCGTCACCCGAGATTCGCGCGCCAAAATCCTTTAACACAGGCTGCAAAACTGATTGGATAGATAGATAGATAGATAGATAGATAGATACTTCTGTAAGAATAAACACTAAATATATAAACACTAATGCAAATCAAGAACACAATCAAGCACAGGTAAGAAAAATGTATTTCTGTAACAGCTGAAATGCAAAATATGATCAAACCTGAAAATACACATCTATATCATTGAGAACACATGGGCCAACAGGACACAAACCTTATAAAGGACACAGGAGCTCGTCTTAGGAATGAGATAAACGCCTATTAACACCTCTTATGTCAGATTTAGAGATTCTGTACGAATAGTCCAGGTATAAAAATAAGGCCTTTGAAATCTTTACAATTGTTATGGCTGGGTCACGTTGAAGCACTGAAGGTGTGGCTATAATACATCTACAACATATGCATCTGTTAGAGAAAAAGTGGACAGGAGATGTGGTTGGGAATAAGCTCATTAACAGGGCTGCTTGTGCAGTGTTATGACAAACCATCTAGTTAGCAATGACATTCACTTATAATGGCAAAGTAGTAATATGCACACATGCAACAATACATATCAGTAGACGAACTGAACAGAATGGAGAACATTACAGAATTGATTCATATTGCTTCAGGCATTTTCCTTGACATGGAAGCAAGCCGTGTGTCTTTCACAGAAAACACTTTATGTGATACTGAGTTCAATGTGTAACCGGAAATGTAGCTTACAATATACAATTATTCAAATGAAACCAATGATGATTGGAATCTCTCACTCCATTCCTTGTAAAATCAGCCATCAAGCTACTGAAAAATAATAATAATAATAATAATAAAATAAAAAACGATGAATACAATAATAAAATGCAAACCAAAAAAACAAAATTGAAAACTACAAAATAAATAAAAAATAAAGCAAATAATATTGTGAGTTTTCTCTCACAATTCCGACATTTTTCTCAGAATTGTGAGATAAAAAGTCACAATTACCTTTTTAAATTTTTATTCTGTGAAGGAAATGGGCTTCCATAATAAAAAAAAATTATAAAATTAAAAAAAATT